TCCGAGCTCCCACATTTTCTTCACCATATTAGGTCTCCCCAGATACACAGCGAGGTGAAGGGTGGACGGTATTTCGGTATGATTACGATGGAATGCAATATCTTTGTCGACGCTTAGAAGGACATCACAGACATCTGTATTGTTATGCATTACTAAGTAATGGAGGATGTTATTTCCATATTCATCGAGCAGTATTGCTATTTCGTTCTTTATAACCTTGGGTTTCTTTTTCAGCAGCAATTCTACAATGAGTCTGAAGTCAGAAATTGGGGGAAACGAAATATGAAAATCAGGTTTATCAATAAGGAAAAAGGGGTTATTTTTGTTTTCTGCAAAGTCTATATCTTCGCGTCCATACCTTATTCCAAACAAAGCTGCTTGTACTACAGTAAAGCTTTGCTCAGGCATCTCTAAAACACTCATTTCATCACTTACAAACTTTTTTAACAATTTCCAACGTCCCGCAAAAGCGGCCAAATGAGTAAATGACCAACCATTTTCTGCGTTCAATGAGGATTGTAACTTCAGAACCATCTCTACTGTTGTTTCCCATCCTTTGAGTATGCAACACTGGGCAAACGTCAAAGAACGACCGGAAAATGAGCAATTTTCTTCAAATACACATTGTAAAAATTTCTCATCCATAAGATACTGGACAATAAGTAAAACTAAGTTTTCGGTCTGATGTTTCATTTTCAAACAATTTCTTAGAAAATATTGAATATCCTCAAAAGTAATTTGATAATGAGGCATTACATTTTGTTGGAACTGATTTGTGATGAGTGTTTCATGGTGAGGACCGAAGCGTTTTAACATTTCATAAAGCAAAACTGCAGCTGGTTCCTTTTTTGAGTGCACCGAAGCACATGGCAAGTTAGCAAAAATTTGCGACAGAATTGACAAAAATCTCTCGTCTGGTTCGCGAGATAGAAGAATTGCCACGAACTCGGTATCACATGACGAAGTATGGTATATAATATGCATTGCTGTTTCATGTGTCCCAGAGTCCACACCATCGCCGTCATCACCGCGCACCATTCGGTTTGCCAAATCCTCGTAGTTTTTTCTCGGAATTCGTAGAACTATCTCGTTTTCCTTGACCTCACAATTCTGAGTACGAATAAGTTCCTGAATCTTCCTTTGGTGGCACTTCTTTATCACGATATCTGGTGCTAGTTTACCGAAGGATACCAAAACGGTTTCTAGAATTGTTTCGTGTGCAAATTTAAAGACTGTACTCTCTCCAACCTTATTTAATAAAGAACCACTAAGATCTTCAATAGCATCAGCTATATTAATATCCGTGACATTTGATAACATGAGTTTTGAAGATATTGTCTGAAATAAATTTTTATCAATATTGTCTGAATGGATACTTCCATTAACAAGAACATAGGAGAGAATGCAATAATCTACTTGTTCCCTAAAAGATTGGGACTTGCGCTTGCTTTCGATTTCAGAGAGCAATGGTTTAGTTGGTCGACAGAAAAATTTGGGACCTTGTTTAAAACACTTGGGTCTCGTGAAGAATTGGAAGCAGGTCACGGGAAATCCGTAATATGGGTCAGATCTCACAATATCATTCTTTTGCATTTCGGATAAGATGACAAAATCATCTGGATTGTAGTTGCTTTCTAAATCTTTACATTTGGGCCCAAATATCTCAGCAGCGCGGTATTTGAAATTTTGTTCAAAGGACTCCAAAATCTTTTGCTTTTCCTCCAATGTGAGTTGAAACTCTTCGGATAAGTTGATTTCAAATTGATGACTGAAAAGTTCTGCTTGCGTAAAATATTGCCTGGCCCCATTTAAAATATGTTTTCTAAGTGCAACAACAACAAAGACGTTACCTTCTCGTGCCGAGGCAAGTATGATATCGAAATAATTTTTCCAATTATCTGCAGCTTCAATCACAAAATTTGAAACCCCAAGGAAATCATCAAGGAAAACAATATAAGGGCCCTTTGGATTAATCACTTTGTTCCATTCCTCTGGATTGTGTATCAGTGCAGGAATTCGAGGTGACCTCACCGATTCTGATGAGAGTTCACGAAGAATTTGCTTTCCTGTGGTTGACTTTCCAATTCCTACTTTATCTCCAGTCAGAATGATAACTTTGTGTTCCATCAGTTTTTGAATTGCTCCGGAAACAGCGGAGGTTCTAATGTATGTTTTCCAAAATCGACGATCCTTTAGCACCGTTACAGTGCTGACTAGAATAGATAATTTCTTATAAAGATATTTAGTTGTATGAATTTATTTAAATCGATTAACAAGACATTTTAGGTATTGTTTAAAAAACTGTTCCCCTCTTCTTACATGTATGCGTTTCTGTTCCAATCAACTAGATATTTGCAAAAGTTATAATTGATTTCAGTGAAAAGTAGTTAATGATGAAAGGCAATACGTAAGTTTAATTATTGCAATCTTCTTTAAGATGCATGCATGTATAGAATTTAATTCCTTTTCCTGAGGTTTATTTTCTATAAATACTGTCTTATAATAAAAAAACCCTTTATTTTTCCGTTTCATGACTGATTAATGTCGTGTTTTATATACAAGGAAATTATAAAGTAATTGTCATAACTGTATTGTAAACACTATTTATTTCCCTCTGGAATTGAAGTTGAATATATAGCAAAACAAATATTACCTAATACGTATATTCCCTCCGCTGTAAAGTGTTCATCTCCTGCAAGATCAAGTATTTGTTCTTATTTTTCATTTTAAAAAAACTTATCACAGTTGTAGATAATTTTATTTTTTTTAAGTTTACGAGTATGTTCTTAAATTAGAAAAGAATTATAAAACGGAAATTCAATTCAGATAACAAAGCTAGGGAAGTATTGAAGTTATATTGATGCGAAATACTGTTTTGGTCCCAAAATAATAGTATCTCGTAAAAGTTTTACAAACATTTTATCTAAAGAACCTTTCTAGTGATTAAACGAATTAACACTTGTAATATAAAAAGTGTTTTTAATCATATTCAAATGCTTCAGAAATATTGCAGTCATAAACATGTACGAAACCTTTGTATGTCTTTCATACGAAGGATTACTTCTATTTCAAATATGTATAGCTGTAGATGATTATGTCTTGAGGAACTCTGTTTAAAAAAATCCGAAAAAAAGGGTTACCAAGACAACTGCTGATACGTTTGAGTAATTTGTTAGTTTCCTCTTGTTCTACTTCAATATCGGCTATTCTTCTGTCATGCTCTCGTTGTCTATCTGTGTGTTAATTTAAAAGTAGAAATTACAAAAGGCAAACGGGCCTTATTAGTCACCTGAGTATCATGTTACAGTTTTCAACAAAGGCATTTGGTTTGTGTTTTAAACCAAATGAATGCCATGGAATTCACTATTTTTAAAAGGCACCATTGCTTATTATACGAGGGGCATTTCAAAAGTTCTGAGAACTGCTTAATAAAAATTTAATCGTTTCATGGAAATTATTGAGTTTGATATTATTGGAAAAATCAGAAAACATGGACACATATTGTGACGTCACTTTATAATTTTTATGACGTAATATTTCCGAAAATGACCCCTTAACTCGAAGATGTTATACGTCAAAATTTGTCTAGTGGTTACTAAGCTGAAAATGTTTAATTCTTAACACACGACGGACGACGACAAAAAACAAAAGGTCACCTGAAAAAACTCAGTTGACCTTAAAATCTGTTAAATCATTGGTTACAAAATCAACATCATTGAACTTTAGAGAATAAACACTCTTACATGTTACATCAGCAACCTCTTCACGTAGGTATAGATAGTGTTCCGTCTGCTGGGGATCCATTATTTGAGTTTTAAGTGTCTTAAGCGCCTCTGTGTATGTTGTTTTTGGGGACATAAAGTTTTCTCAAGATCACATACTATTCAAAGTAATTCTTTCCAAACATTTTCAAATTCGATGTCAGTGACAGACATACGGTCCATATGACCAACATACAAATTTCGAATTATTCTGAGGCGGTCAATATTCGCAGAAAGAGACCTATCTGATGGTTCGGGAGATATTCCCCACCCATTTCTATGTGGCACTATTCCGCAAAGGTTGCGGAGAAATGTGTAAAGCAAGCAAAGATCAAATTCTGTGTATAAACCCATGAAAACAGCACCATTTTGATACAGTTTCATTTTTTGAGACGCATTGAGAAATGTGCATAATTTATCTTTATGGTAAGCCAGGAGAAACGGAAACTGTATCTCAGTCACATGGTATCGTAGTATTCCTCTAGCCAAATCCGTGCATGGATTAACTAATATACAGCACAATCTGGCCCCATTAGATGTTTGTCTTGTTATCTTGTATTTTGAACACGACATTATTGGAAATCTTTCTTGTCTGCAGAAAAGAAAATCAACAATACGATTATACTGTCATATCAATACGAGTTTTTCTGTCTTGAAAAAAGAAAACTTTAAATGAAACAACAGAACACCAGCATTTAAATCAATAGAAGGCAATGTTTTATTTTATACGCACTGTACATCATTCCGTAACCAGTTTCATATCCCAAAAATTATTAATCAAATAGTCGTCACCCTGTCCACTTCTTTCTTCATCGTAAGTATTCTAATCAGACAAAATAATTTTGCTTTAATGCTAGAAACAGGAAATAAATGCAATATAGTTATACTGCTTTATCATACTAAAAATATGAATTTATTCTTTTTCATAGAAAATTTTAAGTAAAAGGGTCTGGACAAAACTTAATTTTGTTGTTAATTTAAAACAAGATGTGTTCGTGAAACACTAATGCCCCCGTATGGCATTGGAAAATTAAGGTAAAACTTTCTCAAATGCAAGTCAAATACGTTGATACCAAATGTATTTGTTATTGTTAAAGTTATAGCCAAAGTAAAAGGTAGAATTTTTGTAAAAATAGGTCAAACGCCAAGGGAAAGGTCAAGAGGTACCTAAAGAAAGGTCTTGTCACAAGGAATATACCTGTGCAATATTCCATAGCCCCACCCACTCAAAAATTATGTTTGTACTTTTGTAGCCATATATCAATTATACCTCATACATATGGAATTTATATCTGCCAGTAGATACGGTAAGCAAAAGCATGTCATACGTACAAACATTTTCGAAAACGAGACAAGCTATTGACAAACTAAGTGATTAAAAAAAGTAAGTAAAATTTTATGAAAGCAAAATTATTGAACTTGTCTTGACGAGCTAAACAGCAACCCAGAACTTTTAAAAGAAAGAATCGAAAGTCGAGAGGTCCATTCCGGTAAATGGCACTCGGAAGTTGGTGTGCAAATAAAAGTTAATTTCAATTGTGTTTTATATATTAATATTGCTTCCCTTAGGTCAATTCTTTTAGTTTAATTTTTTTTTGTAAAATGTGCTTTATAAAAAAAAATTCATTACAAGACGCATCCGTAGCGATCCGCTAATGTAATGTCTAAAAAAGTGTATCTTACTGTCACTCTTAATGGCATTGTTGTGTAGGACAACGCCACGAAAATCCCGTCGACATAAAAGAATTTTCAATTTAATCAAATGGCCGATCGAGCGTTCAAGCTAAACCAAATGGCCGATCGAGCGGTCAAGCTTAACCAAATGGCCGATCGAACGGTCAAGCACGCTGTTACTATACTGGCAGGAGACAGATTCAGTAGTTCGAGAGTTCAACCGCGGTAAGGGGCGGAAGTGGATATTCGTGGAAGGAAAATAAAAATTTAGATTGCATTTCGACCGGTTTTTTCAGGTTTAGACGGAATGTTGAATTAACAGTTTTAATTTCTTATTTCTTTAATTTTTACAAAAGTTTGCATTCTTAAATCATCTGACTTTCAAGGGAAATGGACACAGTTTCAACTGATTTTTTTAAAACCACTTCTAATGTTTACAATTCCTAGTTAGGGCATTTCAAATGTCAGCATAAATTTAAACATCATTTTTTGATTTACAAAGAAGATACCAAGCTTAAAATTCTTCATGTATTTAAACAACCCTCGTGCCTTGTTTATGTTTACATGTAGAAAATACTAAGTAGCATATTTATAACAAAACAAGATTCAGTAAATCGATAGAAAATGTCTAATGCTATTAAGATTGAAGTTCATTATTGACAAAAATCTGCTTTGAACGAACATATTTTGGTGTATGCAACCTATGTAAACAAAAACATGACACGGACCTTCTTTACATAAAAGTGTTTGGAGCTCTAAACCTGTTTTGTATCTCGACAACTTAAATTCAAACTTTTGATAATCATTAAGAATATTTACATGTATTTGCAAACATGAACAAGCATTCTGAGAGTATTGCATTAAGCAATACATGTCCCCTACCGGGTTACCCTTTTTCGTAAGGATGTAATTTTATAATATGCAAAAGTTCTTACCGAGGAAAAACTGATTGATTTTGAGGTTGTGAATGCCTTTCACCTAATAAAATAATCCACATAAAAATGAAAGTTCAACTCATTTTTTAACGTCTTTTTCTCGCTAAATATTTACCATGTTGACCATCGGAATTCAGCGCAGCACGAACCCGATCTTAAACCATCATAAAAAATTAAAAATGCCATAATTCTGTCAAAAATCAGTGAAGCGAAACGAAATTCAAACTTCATCTTTAACTCATTTATGTACACTCACATACCCAAATTTAGCTAAATATCTGCAAGCGTTAAGAAAGAAAATGCGGAAAACCAGGTAGGACAGACTGACTGACAGACAGACGGGGACAGATAGACGGACGGACGAACAGACGCAAAGGAAACCTATAGTCCCCTCCGGTTTCACCGGTAGGGACTTAAAAAGGAAAACAATTTTCATCTTAAAATATGTCCATTGCTCCGTAAAAAATACTCAAAATTGCTTGTGTTCATAAAGAAAAAAAAACCCAGTCATTTCTTTCCTTGACCAGTATGACGAGAAATTGTTCTTTCTGTTATCTACACTGTAAAAAGATTTACTTTCATAATATTAATGGACATAGTGATTAATAATTTCCTCTTGTATTTGAAATAGGGTGCAATATACAATAGATTTTGATTAAATAGATATATGAAAAAAATCTTCCAGGGGTTTCCCTACTGTTGTTAATGTTTAAGGAAGATGTTTTAAATATATATACATGTAATATGCAATACCTATTTATCAGCTTTAAATAAACTTGAATGACCTTGTCAAAAAAGTTTGAATTGATGAGTTTTGTTTCTCAAACAAAATTTAAAGTTGAACAAGAGGCCCACGGGCCTTATAGGTCACCGGAGCATCATTTAACTTTCCACAATTGAAATTCACAATTTTGAAAAAGGCACCATTGCTTATCATAACAAAGGGAAAATGCATTTCCACTTTGTCTTTATAACCAGTTGTGCACCACGCCCCACAGGAACCACTGACCTCAAGGTCACATATTTCAAAATATCATCATAAATTTCATTTCATGAAAAATGGCTGATTATATTAATACCAAAGAGCAAATTTCAATACATTTATTTATTTTCAGACTACGACCCACCCCCCATATGACCCAGGGGCCCTGAAATTGACCATTTTGGAAGAGGCAACATTCTTTATATTAAATAAGTACTTAGCTTATTCACATAATACCCAGGTGCAAAGAAATATATTTTTAAGGATTCCATGTATTTTACTATATAATCACTAAAGCCCCGCCCTAACACCCTGACCCCGGGCCCATGAAATTCACAAATTTGGATGAGGCATCCTGCCTCATTATATCTATGTACATAGTTCTTTGGTTTAGTGCCCAGGACCAAAGAAGATTTTTTAAGAATGTATGCATTATTACTATTTAATTAACATGACTTAGTCCTTCCCTAGCACTAGAACCCCTTACCCTGAGGTCATGAATTTCGGAATTTGGGTAGAGGACTCAATGCTAATTACAATCATGCCAACAGTTTGACTTCTTAATGTCCAAGAGTAAAGAAAATGATTTTTAAAGATTGCATTACTTTAACTTGTTTTGGCCCCAAGGTGGCAGGGACCATGAAATTCACAATTTTAATCCCCTTCACCCATAGATGTTTTATGCCAAAATTTGTTGAAAGTGGTTGCAGAAAAGAGGCTAAAATTGTTTTAATGTTGACGTACAACGCACGACGACGGACTAAAACGGATAGAAATAGGTCATCTAAGTTTACTCAGGTGACGTAAAAATCCAAGATAACATTTTTGTCAGACTGAAACAAATGTCAAATTGAATGAACTGTGATCAAAAGTCCACTGTCATCAATACAGGTACACATTATGAATGGAGCCGATATGTACATAGTAACGAAAAAACCACCCATCCGTTTCATAGAGGGAATTAAAATCAAACAATTTGTAGGTAAGACGCAAGTCAACATTCTAAAGTTAAGTTGTCTTTTAGTCTGAATGGATGTAACTAATAACCATTTGACTGATAACTATGAAAAATAGAGGTATTGTGGCCAATGAACTCACTAAATGATACCCCCCGCCTCCGATATGGTTATAATGGCAAAGTCCATGTTTTGCTGTGGCCGGGAAACCCAAAATATGTGTCGGATCAAAAAGTGAAATAAGAGGTTAAAATGACAATATGTAATAAAGATTCTGTTGAAGTTTCATTAAATTTCACTCAGTGGTATAAGAAGAGTTGCGGATAAGAGATGGGTACATATACACAAAGGCGTAACATACAGACGGAAGGACGGACAGCAGACGGACGGACGGACATAACAATTACTATATACCCTCCCGCTTTTCAAGCGGAGGGGTATCAAAATATATTGGAACATATAAATATATAATGCTTATACAGTTAAAGATACAATTTATGGAACTAATTACTATTCATAATCGATTAACCTTTATTTATATGCAGCATTTATAATACATTCAAATATTAGTTGCTCTGTCGAACATGCGTAAGTTTCAGATGCTTAATCTCCGGATTCATGGACAACTTTACTGCTGTATTATTATGTTTTCCACAGATCGAAGATACCGTATATACCCGCGTATAAGTCGGTTTTTGGGGGGAGTTAAATTTTGGTCTTACACTATATGTCCGACTTATAGGCGAGTCAAAGAGAAATTGGTATTTTTCTGGACACTGAAACTTCCGACGATTATCGAAGAAAATGTCTATATATATATGATAATTTATGTATTCTTAGATTATTCATAAAATATAAGTATTTACATATCTTATTTTTTGGTATCTTAAGTGAGCATTTCTTATTTGTTTAATGATACACGATTAACACGATCGGTTTCATTTCAAAAAAATATTAATAGAATCTAAGTTAAAACATCGATGGATTAACCTGAAATTGTCACCAATTTTGGCAAAAAAAATGTACCAACTTATAAACGGGTCAATGTCAAATCCCATCAAAACTAGTGCTAATTGTAACGGGGACCGTTACAGATGTTCCCCAAACGCTCCCCATCTCCCTTTTGGTGCCATTTTCCCTGTAAGCTTCATTAAATAAGACAAACTTTATGCATTTGAGACTTTAACATGTTTAACAACGTTTACCCAGAAGGGTACCAAGTTCATTCAAATTTTAGCATTGCACGCGTGCGCATGTGAATGCATGTGCGTAATGACCATATCATCTTGTCTACACAATCTATATACTTTAATATACTAAATATTAAAGTATTTAATCTAAAAGTATTAAAACATACGCTCATTCAAGTGTATTTTTGATTTTACTCATTTCACGTGCACGCACGTGCATACATGAGCATGGTGGCATACCTTCTTGTAGAAGTTCATTACATCTATCTATGTTCTAAATCCCACTCCGTTTGGTTGAAAACCAAGGGAGTTATAGCTGATTAAAATTTCAGCCAATCAGATTGCAGCGTACGTTCACGCACGTGTATGGATGTGCATAGTGACCATACCTTCTTGTAGAAGTCCATTATATCTATCTATGTTCCAAATCTCATCCTGTTTGGTTGAAAACTAAGGGAGTTATAGCTATTTAAAGTTTCAGCCAATCAGATTGCAGCGCACGTACACGCACGTATATGGATGTGCATGGTGACCATACCTTCTTGTAGAAGTCTATTATATCTATCTATGTTCCAAGTCCCATCCTGTTTGGTTGAAAAGCAAGGGAGTTGTAGCTATTTAAAGTTTCAGCCAATCAGATTGCAGCGCACGTGCATGCACGTGTTTCATGAAAGTTGTTATATATCATGTTGTAGGATATTCTTATGCATGGCTATGTACAGAATTTCAAAGGATTCCATCAAAAAACAAGAAAGATAATGAGACTTTAGTTTCAGACAATCAGAGCGAAGCTCACGTGCATGCGCGTGAGATCTTGCTATTTTGACCATGTCATATTGTCTATGCTACTACTATATCCTTATATTATGAGTCTCAAAGCATTTCATTAAAAAGGTAAAAATTTACGCCTATATCAATTAAATCGGTCATTTCACGTGTTGCTCGTGCGCGCTCTTGCAAGCACGTGCACACAAAATTGCATGTTGACAATGTCATCTTATCTACATTTATAATATGTCTATATATTCTAAATATCAAAGCATTACATCGAAAAATGTAAAAGTTACGGCAATTTCAAGCATATTGGTCATTTCACGTGTTGCACGTGCGCGCTCTTGCAAGCACGTGCGCGCAAAATGACCTTCGTTCCGCAAATCTACATAACATGCCTACTTACCCTAAAAAGGTTTCCCCTTAATCGGATGTGTACTTTACAAGATCATTCGCGGACAAAATTTTCCCGAGAAGAAAAATAATAATAATAACTAGAGCCGAGCTCGTTGCAAAGCAACGAGTAGGTCTTCCGTCCTGTTTGACCGGATGTAACTTTCATTAAAAAAAAAAGAGTAATGAAGTCCCAAAATGGTTTAATCCTCCAAATGTATGTTAATTTTTGCAAAACTAAGCCATTTTTGGCAACTTCCGGTTTGATCGGAAGTGCAACGACGGACGGAAAATAAAGATTTAAGCTTCCGGTGACATATGATATCCAAAAACCTGTCAAGAACAGCAAAAATATGCAATTTTTGACTACTTCCGGTTTGACCGGAAGTGACGTCGCCGGACGTATTTTGACGACGCCATTAGATAAAGCTTGATATTTTAAACAACTTTGCTTCTTTGACGTATTACAAATTTTCAATACTTTTTGAGGTATGAAAGAAAAACTTTCGGCCCCTTTTTGCCCTTTATTGTAGGGACCAGCCCCTTATCGTTGATATATTTCGAAAGATCGTGATATTCATCACAACTTTTGTTCTATATGTCTTTACAAAACATTAACGTGTAAAAAGATATTGCCAAAAATGTGTGAAAATTTTCTAAATTCCGAATAGGACTTTTTTCGAGCCATAGCGAGCGCCAACGTGCTGCACTTCCAGAGAATAAGAAAGGTGTGTGTCACATCAGCACATGTTGCTTTATCATCGCTGAAAATCTTACGTTTCTATCTAAAAGCACTTTTGAGAAAAATGCTGGACAATGTGACCCTCTGAAAATCACTAAATCGCGGAAATCTCGAAACCGGAAGTGACGTCATAAAAATAAAAAAATATATATCAGGTTTGATTGATGTTCCATCAGTCCTGAAAGTTTCATGAAAATCGATCGAGCCGTTTCCGAGAAATCGCGTGCACAAAATCGGTAAGAAAAAAAACAATAATAAAAATAATAAAAATAGTGGAAAAGAAACCTAAGAATAACAAGAAGGTCTTCCGCTGAAGACGGAAGACCTTAATAATAGGGAAAAAGAAACCGAAGAATAACAAGAAGGTCTTCCGTTGGAGACGGAAGACCTTAATAATAGGAAACCGACGAAAAACAATAAGGTCTTCCGAAGGAAGTCGGAAGACCTTAATTACAAAATGTCGCATAGGTTCACGGCAGAATATGGCCGACGCAAAATAATTCCTGAATTTTCCTCTTTAACTCGAGCATTCCTGCATTGGACAGGTCTGATGTTTGATATGAGATGATAAACCATGTGTAAACTTTCTTAGTTTAGCGGAATCATGAACATTTTCGGCGTGATGAATGGATTGTTTACAGTAGCGATGAGGCCACCGCGCAGCTGCGAGCGGATCCAAGGATTTATGAATGAATTAAAAAAGATGGAAATAGAGTTCGATTTCTTTTATTTTATTTAATGACATTATTCATATGCAAGTAAAAGATATACAAGAAAATGCGAGATGCTAATAAATGCAGCTGACAATCTTTATTTTCTCAAGATAATTTTTTTTTAATGAAATAATCATAAATTCTACAGACAAAACATAGGAAGAATGAATGATAGCAAATTATCAGATGACATAAGGGGAACTAAATTTTTTTATGAATGAAACTTTTAAAACGTTACTTGTAAGTTGTATATGTTATATCTGCGAATTCTACCTGGCTGCGCGCTTCCGAGGGGGGGTGGGGGGTGGGGTGGGGGCTGTCTTGAATATAGACTTGTAAATTACCATTATTTTGTAGAAAGAATTTAGCCTTATCATTTTCTTAACTTCAAGAAGAGTGCCTTGTTATATAAATGTCAAGGTCATTTTATGTAGAATGTAAAACATTAAAGCGGAATTAGCATTCATTTCAATAAGTGAGAAAGGTGGGGGCTAGGTTTCTTACAGTTTTCAAAAAAAAAAAAAAATGGGGGCGGGGTATAAGATGCACACACATGATATATGTTTCATACATTTTATTTGCTAAAAACTCGACTCTGTGGAACCAAAGAAGGTTTTCTACAGGTCCATTCCCCATCTCGGGGAAGACCTTACCTGCACAATGGCACCATGTGTATTACCCGCGCAGCCTATTTATGAGAAAATGAAATGAATATTTTTTAGTGTTTAAGGAAACGTTGAACCTACGCTTGCGAAAGTTCTAAGACATTCAAAGATATTTAATTTCTTCTTTATCAAATCAAGAAACTGGTTATGCGTTAAATCAGCAAATAGGGGCCTTTACTTATGCCATGAATATCACAGAAAAAGATAGAAAGAAAGACAAA